AAAAAAAAAAAAAAAAAAAAACACATCATAGTAAAACCAATACCTTCTCAGCTTCGCATCGAAGCTAAAAACAATAAATGATTAATTTGATCAAATTTTAATTCTAATTATTTTTTTTTTATGATTAAAATTGATGTCAATCACTTATTAAAAAATAGTTGTTTTGCTTGAATACCCCATTCTTTAAAAGAAACTTTAAATAGTTTATTATTCTATCATGATTAAGGCAATATAACTTTGTACTAACAAAATTATATTAGATTTCGCATTTATTTAAAATATCGTAATTATTTTTTAATAATACTGTGGTTTGAAAGATAAAATAAAATATTATAGTTCCAAAATGCAAAATATTATATTGTATCCCGGTGATATCCTACTTTATAAGGATTATATGTGTATACCTCCAAAAATTTAATTTTTTCGATTTTCATAAAAATTGACTATAATATAATAATTTTTTCTTGTTAAAAATGATCGAAATGTATTTTTCTTCATTATTATGATTAGTATTGCAATATAACAAATATTACTAGTATTTTGTCTAATATTTGGGGGTAACTTGGAGGACGTATCTTTTCAAGAGTATATTTTTAAATGGTAGAGGCAAAAAATAGGTTTGTCAAAAAGCGTAATTATTACAAAGGTAAATAAGAGATAAACATTTTTTTTTAGTGATTTTTGTGATTATATAAAAAAATTCTGTAGCTTATAAACTTTACACTTAAGCACATTATTTATTATTACATTATAAATAATTACTGATAATATACTAATATACAGGGTGATTTTTTTATCATAACCCACTCAATTACTTACAGAATAATAATAATTAAAAAAATTTTTTTTATTATTATCTTTAGTTACACATTATTCTTGAATTATTAATTATGTAATACTTTTTAAATCCCTTATGCCTGATAAGGGTGTCAACTTTGTTTTTTTAAATGGTAACACATATTTTTAATTTAATAAAAAGTTCGAGTTTTTAATTCAATAATAAATGGCATTTGAATTTTTAATAAAACTTAATTTGTTTATTAGATATAAACATTTAAAGTTTCAAATTTTTGAGTTAATATATAGGTATAATACACAAGGGATTACAAATACAGGTAGCTAATTGGTTTTTTATGATATTGCTATCACAGTCACGGATTGTTTATTATCAATTATGACTATCAATAGATATACTTTTTGTATTGCCAGTTAGTGTATTTATAAACTCACAACAATGTACCTTACTATCATTGATAATAACAATGCTGTGTACCTGCTAATATCGATGTCATAAAAAATCAATTAGCTACCTGTATTTGTAATCCCTTGTGTATTATACCTATATATTAACTCAAAAATTTGAAACTTTAAATGTTTATATCTAATAAACAAATTAAGTTTTATTAAAAATTCAAATGCCATTTATTATTGAATTAAAAACTCGAACATTTTATTAAATTAAAAATATGTGTTATCATTTAAAAAAACAAAGTTGACACCCTTACCAGGCATAAGGGATGAACTTAAAAAGTATTACATAGTTAATAATTCAAGAATAATGTGTAACTAAAGATAGTAATAAAAAAAAAATTTTATATTATTATTATTCTGTAAGTAATTGAGTGGGTTATAATAAAAAAATCACCCTGTATAGTTTACAGGATTAATAACTTATAAGTTTATTTTATTTATTAAAAAAAATTATCTTATCGTTAACTTTAGAAACTATGGCTTTAAATTTATGGGAAATTCAAATTCAAACTTTTTATACAAAATAACTTTTATTAAATTATAAATTGAAATGTAGAAGTATATAAATAAATATATGCATAAAAAAATTAAATCTTTGGCGATAAACTTGATTGCACTTTTACTTCGGTCGATAAAATTTGCTAGGTCACAATATAAAACAATAAACATAACATTATGGGATAATTACAAAATCTAAAATTCATAATAACGTTTTTTTTTAATTTAATGATTGAAATGAATTTTTTTAATTTGTTAGTCCTGATTTATATCAAATATATATATAATTAGCAGACAAGATATTTACCTAAAATTCGAATTTCAAGTTTTACCAAAAAGTAGTATTGTCAAATCAAATAAATGAATATCTTATACTTTTTTATAAAATCTTTAATAAAATATAAAAGTAAATTTCAATCTGATGTTAATTTAATGTTTTATTTAGTAATTATTCGACGTTTTTAAAAAAGTGACCTTTTTTTTAAATATTTTCAAATGAAATTAGTTAAGCTTCTTTAAAAAGTAATGAAATTAAATAAATCTCCAACAACTTAAATCGATAAAAATATTTTTGAATTATATATTTGGAGATTCTAATTGTGAATCTTTTAGCAGAACTTGAGCTAAGCTTTTGTAATGTTTTTGTTTTATTAAGTTTTTTCAAAAGCTTAGCTGTAAGTACCCAACAAAGTAAAGTATATCTTACCACATTTCTTATGTTTCGTTATGCTACAAACCTTGTAATTTTTAAAACTTATATTAAGGTATGTAATATTGTAATGTGAGTGGATTTTATTCTTAAATATTATTTGAGGGATATAAAACTTTTGATTTCATGTTAAAAATGGTCTACTATAAAATAAAAAATAATAAATAAAAAGACACATTTTCAAAAGATACAATTTTATGTGCTACTATCAGTAGTTTAAAAGTTTTTACTTAGTAATATTTTTATTTTAATCTACAAAAAAAAAAAGTCTTAGGGAAATATTTGTTTGTATCAATTAAATATTTCTGTATACAAAAAAATTAATGATAGCGTTATAATTTTTTGTATAATTTAAAAATAAGTAAAAAATGAAATGTAGATTTACTAACTATAATATTTGCTCTATTACACTATTCTTTCAGATTATTTTATCAAAATATAAAAAAAATTAATGTTATGTAATGATATTTTACCTTTTTAATACAACCGATAAAATTTGTACTGGCTTTAGTACCAGGTAAGGCAACTGTGTTTTCACTACCACCTAAATATAGGTAACCCAAAGGCAAGGATGTGAAAGCACCCGCAGAGCTTCCTTGTTCACCATAAACTTCATCCACCGTCACTGACAACTATAATAAATAATGTAAAAAAAAAAAAAAAAATGTTAATGTAAATGATTTATACATATTTTCACAAATACGATGAGTGTAATTTTTACAAGGAAAATAAATTATTCTTATTACCAACGGACACTTAATTTGTATTTAATTTCTTAACTTATTATTCAAATGCTAGAATAGAAATATAACGAAAATAAATATTATAAATAAAGTTTTTTTTTTTTAAGTGTTTTTATATTTTCAAAGATGAAATAATGAAAATAGTTTTGAGTTTCTCTGATTACCAGCAAATTATTGAAATGGATATAATGCATTCGATGTTTTAAAATTAATTCATAACTTAAAAGAAACTTTTTTTAATAATTTATCGATTAACTTTAATTGTCAAACATTGTTTGTGTATATATAAAATATATAGATTAAATGGCGTCATTAAAAATATTGAAAATTAATTCGATTAAAAATATATATACCTTACAAAAACTAGTGACTGCAGATATCTGAAACAAAAAACATATTGGTATTTGATTATTTTTTTAGAACAACAATTTGTACAGAATGAATTTATAATAAGTTTTTCTTTTGGTATATTATATTACTTAGCATTATTAATGTTAAAGGAAGTCGTATTTTAATTTAATGAAGAAATGTTTTTATTATTCAAAAGAATGCTGTATTTTTATACATTGAAATTTGATTTAGTCACAATGTTTAGGTAATGTTATAATTCAATTAAAATTTAGCAAATGCAGTTTCATCCTTTAAAGATACACAAGGAATCCAATTAAATTTTGCTGCTACAGCAAATATATGTAGTGTATTTTAATGTATATACGTGTATGAATGTATATAAATGTGATATTCCCTGAAGGATAACATGTTACACGCGGGATTGTAATATGACAGTTACATGAAACCGGATATTAAATGAACGGCCAAAGCATTTGCCAACTAAGTTTAATTTCGAGTACTTCAGTAAAATGCAACACAAACACCAAAAATTAATACAAATTTTCGCTATTACATCATAAATGTGCAATAATTTATATTTTATTTATTTAGACTGTATAATTTTTTAACTTTACTACTTAAAATTCCATAAAACACGATAAATGGTGTAAGTAATATAAGTTATTAATATGTTCTACAATTACATAAGTTTATTATTCATAACGTTTATAATTTTATAAACCCTTGTTTCTTTCCCATGCTGTTTTTAATTTTTAAGTATAATTTCATTTTGTGAATACTCTGTGTATTGTATTCGTGACAGCTACTTATATTATTACAGCGCACATTTTTGACAGGCATAGTGCTATTTGGTACTTAAAGTAATTAATGTTGAAAAAGCATTAGTTTAAATTAAAATCTTTTACCCCTTGCACTTTTCGGGTGACTAATATCTTATGCCATTGGTTATCATCGAACCGTATTCTATTGGGCTTGATGAACATATCCAATGAACCAGAATCCACTTTCATCGTTACAGTTACTCCACCAGTGACGATGCCAACGTTGAGATAATTACTGCCTCCATCTCCTGAAACAACAAAATGTGTTACATAAATATAAAAAAACTGTATCTATTTTCAAGATTGAATGAGGTTTTGTGTAATTGTAAAAAAATAATTTATAGTGAATGATTTATTAAAGCAATTTTTTTCATTGTGTTAAGTTACTATAGTTTAATTGAATTTTAAACGGTTCTACATTACTTATTTGAAAATTTTTAAATGAAAACATTAATCATAACAATATTTATATTTTATTAGAACATAATTATTATAGTAGATATTCAATGAAATATAAAGCTTTTTAAACTGTCATTATGTGTTTTTATCTAATAACTTTAAATGACATCTCAAGTATTTTCAATTACCGGTTTTTAATATATAATGATAGCTGACAAACACATGTTTAAAATATTTAAACAATCTTCGAAAAGTAGTTTAGGTCCATCAATATTTCAATACACATACGTTGTAATAGTACATTTAGTATTTAAGTATTGTAAATATATAACGTGTGCACAATATCAGATAGGACTTTTCACTTCGTTTTGTGGTGGCGGCGCTGGTGAGGTGTTGTCATGAATCGGAGGAGTGATAAGGAGTAATAATGGGTTATTGGTTATGTTTTAATGAACATCACATTTTTTTTCTTCTTCCTAATATTAATTAAAGAAACTATATGAATTTCATGATGCATAAATAGATACATTAGAGAGCTATATTAGAGAACCGTGAAAAAATGTGCACGGAATTCAAATATATTCGCACCCGAACCAAATGGCTTATTCACATACTACACAGCACATTACAATTAATATGTTATATTTTTATATGAATGTTTGTATAAAATTTTGTTATTGTCAAACTCAAAGAATTATAATTTATTTCTTTTGTTAGCAAATTGTAAACAAACCGATTTATATATATGTAGATTAGAGGTTATCTCAAGATTTGAAAAAAATCTTTTTTATACGTTCGAGTGAGCATATATAAATAAATTATAATTATGACCAACAAATATATTAGAAATAGAAAAATAAATTTAGAAATAACGTTTATGTAATAAATATCTTTAAGACTGAGAAAAGTCATATATATAAATAAAAGTATATATATATATACTTTTATTTCAAAGAAGAACTTAATAACGTTTGAAATAAAAACAATTTGATTTATATAGTACTCGACAAACCAAAGCAGTAACAACACGTAGATTATAATTTGCGTTTAATTTAATTAGGTAAAAAGTAAGAATAGGTACGTGGAATGATGGAGCAATAAATGATAAAATTTGAGGGCTAGTAGACATATTAAAGAGGAGAAAAGTTAATATTTGTTGTGTGCAGGAAACTAAGTAGAAGAGAGGAAAATAGGTAAGGGTTATAAAAAATATATACTCAGATAAGACCAATACAATAATGAATGAAAAGATGAAAAGTAAAGTAGTAGAATTAGCTAGGAAAAGTGACAGAATTATAGTGATAAAATTACTTTTTGAGGTAAAAGTGTTAAATGTAATAAGTTCTTATGCTCCACAAGTAAGATGTGATAAAAGAGACAAGAAAGTGTTTTAGAGAGAGATAGATGAGGTGATGCAAGGAATACCTGGTAATGAGAATGAGATGATACGTGGAGATATGAATGGAAATGTAGCTAATAAGAGGAGAGGATATGAAAGAATACAATTATCCCAGGCAAGATTGTAACTTCACTGCATAGAATGATGGTAATTATTTGTGATGTAGTGGGCAATGAATATATAAAAACAGATAGAAAATAGTAAGAAATTCGAGGTTTCGGTTGTGGAAATAAAAAGGAGAAAATGAAAAAGTTTTTAAAGTAAGTAAAAGAGATAACAGTATAGTATGTCGAGGAAGATATAAATAATATGTGGAATAGATTTGCTAGTTGTATAAAGAATACTGCAAAGGAGATTGTTGGTGAGAGTAGGAGTAGAATAACAGTAAACAAGAAAATATAACAGGGTGGTGGAGATATAAAATGATGTAAAAAAAAGGTGGAAGTATTTTGAAAAATTACTGAATGAGGAGTATCCAAGTGAGAGATTAGAGGTTATCTCGTGGAGCGAGGAACTGGTAGATATAATTGAGTGAGAAAGAGGTATGGGAGGATGTGCAATCAATAACAAAAATAAAGCAGTAGGACCAGATAATATGATAGTGAAAATATGGAAAATATTAGAATGTATTAGTATAAAGAGGTTGAAGGATCTTTTTAATATAATTCTATTAGAAGAGAAAGTTTCAAAAACATTGAAGAATAGTATTGTGATGCCGATATTTGAAGGCCAAAAAGATATGAAAGAGTGTGAAAATTATAGAGGCATATGGCTTATGAGTCATTGTATAAAGATTTGGAAAATTGTAATAGATAAAATAATAAGAGGAAAAACAGTATCAAATAACTAGTTTGGTTATTTGCCTGGAAAGTAAAAGATGGAGTCAATTTTTTATGTAAGACAACTAACAGAAATATTAGGAATAGAAGAAAAGGCTGTATAGTTTGATAAATTTATAGATCTGGAGAAAGCGTATGATAGAGTACCAAAAGAGGTTTTAAAGTGGTTATTAATGAGAAAATGAGTATGAATATTAATGAGTCCCAATAAGGTACATTAATCTAATAGAGGATATGTATGATGGCACTTGTACTAGAATAAAAAGGGTGGGTGGAGTAACAGAAGGTTTTAGGGTAAGAATAGAAGTGCACCAAGGTGTCCTGCATTGATGTTTTACTTATTTTCTATAATGATAAATGAAATTACTAGAGAAGCACAAGGAGAGGTGCCGTGGTGCATGTTGTTCACTGAAGTTATAGTGTCAATAGGAGAAAATATGAAAGAAATTAATCAAAGACAAATGGTGTGGAAATTAGTTCTTGAAGGAAAGGGACTAACAATAAGTAGGAGTAAGACCAAGTAAATAGAGAACGAGTTTAAATAAGAAAAAAAAGAGGAAGGTTATATGATCTCCCTTATCATTTACGTACTCTTTAACAGTCCTCATATCGCATTCAATAAAATGCCTTGGGCTTAAAGCAGAAACTTAATGCACTCCTTCTCATTACCCTAAAATATTCTGTTACTCCGCGCACACTTCTTACACTGGTACAAGTACCATCATATATTTTCTCTATTGCCTTAATGTATCATTTTGAGACTCTTTTTCATATTATAATTATAATTATAACATTTCAACATGTTTAATTTTTTATTTTATATTTATAAAACTTTTTCAAGTTTTGTGAATTAATTTTTCTAGTTTAAATATCAAAAAATAATTTTATTTTCCTGTCGTAATTTGTTGTCTGCAACATTAATTTTTACTGTTAAAGTGATATGATATAGTTATTTTAGTATTAAAAGATCCTTTATTATCTTGTTATTCTATGAACGAATTTACCAAAATTATTTATAAGCAGATGACCTTTTTATGTAGTTTTTAAACGTTAAGTCTTTGGTAAATAAATTCTTTTAGTTGTTTTATGTTATTATAAAAAATCGGCTAAACTGTTATAAAAAACTATTAACTCCTTTTTTATCATTATAAATCAATACCATTTGTACTTTTGGTGATTACAGATTTAATAATTTCAGAGGTTACAGTTCATCAATGTTAGTGTTTCTTTTATCGTAGTGAGATATGCTCGCCTGAGTGCTATAATTCTTTATTACATAACATTTTTTGTTGATCATAATTTTTGTTCATATGACTTTGGAAGCTTTTGCCATTACCCTCATATTTATATACTACAAGCGGGTTTTTACTTAAACATAATAATTATTATAAGTAATTAATATAAACAATGTTTATTAAACATGAATTCATATATTAAATATAAGTATATTTTATGTTTGTTTTTTTTTTAATCGCAGTATTTTACATTGGTATAACAGGGTAAGTTTAAAATGATGAAATTTTTTTATGTATTTAGTTGATACTTATGAGGCGTATGGGTGCCTCTTATATATATTAATAGTATGATGTATATATAAAGCTCCACATTTACCACGAGGTTCTACTCTTATTATTTTTGAATTTTATTTTATGNGCTCCACAGTTACCACGAGGTTCTACTCTTATTATTTTTGAATTTTATTTTATGAATTCTACATACAATAATATATTTTAGGTTACCACTGTTAGAATAATTAAAAGTGTCCGATTCACAAGAAGAAAATTAATAAATGAGTTAAATATTTTATATAAAATAATCTTTGTTTCTTTCAATTTCATCTATTGTGATTTATCTGCTAAGTCTTACATTTTAAAAGTAAAAGGACAAAAAGTTTATATCTTGCTCTCAAAATTAAGAGTGAACATATAAATAAAGACTTGTCTTCCATATTCACATTCTAAGTGAGCTGAAAGAACTCATTTTGATTATCTTAATGCTGTAGATGAAGATTACCACGCCAATTGTAATAATATGTCTAATCTTATTGAACTAGAAAATTTAGATAATGACATCATTATCATTAGTGGCATGCATTTAGTATTTAGGAGACAAGAAAAAAGTATTACTTCTTCGAATACAAAAATATCAAAGTTCGTCTACAATTTTCCTAAATAAACTAATTATCTTGATTATTACTGTTGAACCTACTTCCCTATTCGAGGTTCTAATATTTTTTGCTAGGCAATTAAGACAGTATAATTTTTTATTCAAACCAGCCGTTTACAAGTGCCGTAATAAGCGACAGATTTATTTGTGTCCTCCGTCCAATCAATAACATTATTTTTTAATATATTATTCATGATTTTAAGAATTATATATCATAAATAATATTTTTTTTTTCATAAAAAATTAATATTTTTATAGGCTTGTTCCTTACCCATGTGATAAAGAAGACCCGCTGGTTGTTTGGTTTTGAAATAAAGCGTAAACGAATCGCCTTCGGTGTTGCCGTCAAAAACATATTTCAAAAACTCTTCTCCAGTAAACGATGCTTCTGTAGTGATTTTGTCTGTAAAAAAAATATAAAAATAACATTGCTGTAAGTATAAAAATTTTAGTAAACTAATTAACATGATTTTATTTTATTTATCTTTACATTATATTTAATTGTGGATAATACGAACGTCGATTTATTTTATTAGTTATTTAAATTATCTATGTACTATTTTTATTTTATTTTTTATACAATTTTCAAATGATCAAAAATGATTATGTTTTATGTTAATCTCATAAACTTTATACATAAATAATGAACTACCTTATGTATTATATAATGAATTAAGAAAATGACTGATCAATAACAACTTTTAAATCGATATTTCAGAAGTCGTTGACATATTTAATTTGAAGTTGAATAAATTGAAATGGGTTTTTTTTGTCTTATTGATGTAACAATTGACCTGTTTTCTAACTTATTGAATATTCTGTGTACATACTTTAATAAGCAATCTAAAGTTAATTAATATTTAAATAATTATTATAATAGTAACTATTAATACTGCAATACCAAAGGTATTACAATTTAATACCTAAAATACTTTTCAGTTTGTAAAAACAAATTTAATGATATTTATATTACATTTACTACACAATATTTAATCAGAGTAATTTTTCTGAAAAATTTATTGTAATTAAAAATAAAATATTTACAAATTCAAAAACAAAAATTGATCATTTTTGATGGTTAAAAACTATTTAAAAAAAAATAAAAAAAAAACCCTTTTCTTCAAGAACTGATCTCCACACCTCTAGCATTTGATTAATTTCCTCCTATTAACACTATATTGTCAGCAAACAACATGTACCACGGCACTTCTTCTTGTATTTCTCTAGTAATTTCATCCATCACTATAGAGAATAATTAAGGGCTTAAAGTAGAACCTTGGTTTACTTCTACTCTTCCCCGAAAACCTTTTGTTACTCCTCCTACGCTTTTTACCCTGGTACAAGTGACATCATACATATCTTCCATTCTATTAATATATCTTTTCTGGACTCTTTTTCTCATTAATGTCCACTTAAAAACCTCTCGGTACTTTTATATCATACGCTTTCTCTAAATTTATAAATACCATACACAGCTTTTTCTTTTTTTCCCTTAACTTTTCTGTTAGTTGTCTCACATAAAATAATGGCTCCATTGTTGACTTACCAGGCAAAAATCCAAACTGGTTTTTAGATACCGATGTCTCATTTCTTATCCTCTTTTATATTACCTTTTCCCAAATTTTCATACTATTACTCATAAGCTTTATGCCTCTATAATTTCCACACTCCTGTATATCACCTTTACCTCTAAATATCGGCTCCATAATACTATTCCTCCATTCATTTGGAATTTTCCCTTCTAATAAGATTTTATTTAAAAGTTCCTTCAATCACCTTATGCTAACACCACCTAATATTTTCCATAATTTTACTGGGACTTCATCTGGTCCTACTGCTTTATTCTTTTTCATTGATGCCACAGCCTCCCATATCGTTTTCTCTCTAATTAAATCTACCAGTTCCTCATTCTCGAGATATCCTCTAATGTCTCTTTCGGGTACTCCTCATTCAGTAATTTTTCAAAATACTCTTTCGACCTTTTTTTCACATCATCATCACTCGAGATTTCCTTATTATCAACAGTTTTTATACACCTTATATGATAATAATCTTTAGATCTTTTCTCTCTTAAACTTCGCCTTACTTACTCCACACTTGGCTTCTTGGACAAGCGTTTATACTCCATCCAATCTTCTCTCCTTTTACTCTTCTGTCTTATATTGAATTGATTTTTATACCCTCTATGATTTTTGAACGTCCTCATCCCACCACCAGCTTTCCTTGATTCCTGTCATTCTACTCCTACTCTGGCCAATAATCTCCTCTGCAGTATTCTTTACATAACTAGCAAATCTATTCTACACATCATTTTGCCTCCCTCGACATTCCACACCGTCCTCTCTTTTACCGTCTTTACAAACTCTTTTTCATTTTCCTCTTTCAAATTCCACCACCATTTCCCACCGTGTTCTTTCTATTTTTGTATATTCTCTTTCCCGTACACCACAACTCCATTACCATCAGTCTATGTTGTGTAGTTACACTTTCGCCTAGTATAACTTTACAATATGTTGCTCGCTTTACGCTCTCTCTCTTCCACATAAAATAATCAATCTATGATCTATTCCTCTCACTCATATAAGTTATATGTTAAATGTTACTATCAATTTAATGTTTAAATTCATTTTATTAAATAAATAATAACAAATTGAATACACAAATCAGTTTTAACTCTAATTTTATTAGATAGGTATTTTTACCTTTTATTCTTAAAAGAAGAATATGCAAAAGGAGAGAAGATTGGATGGAGTATAAACGCCTGTGCAAAGAAGCCAAGTGTGCAATAAGTAAGACGAAGTTTAAGAGGTATGATGAGTTGTATGATAGGGTAGGAACAAAGGAAGGCGAGAAAGATATCTATAGACTTGCAAAAGTAAGAGAGAAAAGGACTAAAAACATTAAAACGTTTGTCCCGCGTAAAAGAAAATCGAATTTTTTTTGGTTGTTGATTCATTTGTCGTCAATACTATACTCCGTAAATCATAACTAGTGTACTTTGAATGGTTCGTCGCATAGCATTTTAACATATGTTACCATATTCTTCTATTTCAGTACCATATACGTGACATTTATTTTTACAATACAATTTTACTAAACTAATCAGTCTAAATAGTGTAATAAATTTATATAGGACAGTAACACAATCTACTTTATTTTTACGTATGTCATTAAAAGTACATTAACAGTTAATACAAAAAAAGAAACAAAAATATCAAAATTACCAGAAAAAATTTATTTGTAAAACATAAAATTTTGAATTCGTGTTAAAAATTAACGTAATTAAAGATGTTTGGTATATATAACTTAATTTTAAATACAACAAGAAATATTAAAGGAATGGGATTGATAATTGAGTTTCACTAGTCCTCTTTTCTAGGAACTAGTAAAAATATGTTGTTTACATTATATAGTAAACAGCTTTTAAACACTAAAATAGATTTTTTAAATTAAAAATTTTGAAAAACAGTCTCTTGTAGGTAATTTATAGATTTTATATCATTTTTTTTTATAATATTTTATAAGATAAGTGGTTTTATTTTAGTAAAGCTTTTAGTAGTATGTCTTACGTAAAAACAATAATTATTTTTTTTTAAAACCTCACCAAGATCAAAAAACTTTTAATGCGATTTCGATCTAATGTCAACATATTCTTGAAAATGTTCATAATTTTTTTGTACCGCATTACATAACTTGTAAAATGACACTCATATTGTACAAAAATAAGTGTACACAGAATTACTAGCTCTACGGAACATAAAAAAAATATTATTGTTTTTATTTATTCTAGTTGTAGTCTATACTTTATAGCATTTTGATAGTTAACTTGACTGCTCTTTTTTCTGAGAAGAGACTATAGTGTACTTCATTTTACACAAAAATTCAGTGAAACTACCATTATACGTAATTTTTTAGTAAACGTGGGTTTTAATAAAAACTTTTTATTTACTTTTCCAATGAAATGAAAAAAATTGTTTTAATATAAATTATAAACAAAATGTTTTTTCGTGGGAGTGAAAAGTATTGTGAATCAGAAATTAAATCATGCATTAATGCATGATTAATATCATTAATGCATCGGATATTATATAAATAATTTCATAGTAACATCAAAAGTTAAATTCTAACGACAAATAGTAGTAAAATTAAAACTATATTAAAAATATTATTAATTTAAAAAAACTAAAAAATATTAAAAATATTAAACTCAAAGCCACAAAAAAATTAATGAAAAGTCGCGGATACGTATTTCGGAAACAATGTTACCATTATCAACGCTAAACACATACTGACACCCCGACTAGAAAAAACTCCCTTATATACCCCTAGTGACCTTATCACCTAGTGACGTTATCACTAAGTAATATTATCACATTTTGCCAGTTTACACAAGTTTAATAATGAATTTTTCAGTGGGCCAAGATCCCAATTAATTAAATTGTTTTTATTTTTAAACATTTCTATTGCTTCTCTGATATTAAGTTCTTTGTAATTATTTACGTTTTTAATTAGTTTTATGGTTTTAATAGAGTGATTATGTGTCAATAAATGTTCAGCCACTGGNGACACATTTATTGACAAATAGTAGATTTATAAATACACTTTTTTGTAATCATTATGTATGATAATATGATTTTATCATGCGTGATCATTTATTTTATCAAATGAAAAAATGATTTATTATAGAAAAACATTTTAATGGAAATTTTAATTATGCTTTTATATTATGGTCAACATATTGTCAATAAATCATATTATAGTTCTAGAAATCCAAAAAGCCCAAGTGATTAGGAAATCTACTAATACCCATGTATTATCAATATACGTAGGTAATCATGATGAATAAGAGTATTGTGAATTAAATATCGATTTATTTTATTATTTTGCTAACTCTTTGTTTCGTTAGAACTCATACCAGTATACTAAGAGACAAAATAAAATACAATAAAAACAATAACAATAGTAATGTTTATACTACGTGTAGATTCATAAATAAAAATTGTACACGTCAATATGGAATAAATAACAAATTAATCAAATCATCGTTTGACATTCTATTTGAAATAGAAGTATGAACGGGGTGGAAAAACCTGACCCAAAATACATTGCATTATACAATTTCAAAACACAATGGTTCCAAAGGTAATCAATGCAAAACTACAGTTTGAAATATTAACGATTTGACCTTTAACGCTTTTGAATAGGTTTCATATAACAGAGTTTTATTGAATACAATCGCAAGAGTTTTTATTCACCGTAACGCTCTTATCTTGGCATTTAAAAATATTCATATAGGTTAAACGCCAAACTCACACTTCACCGAAATGTCCAAAAAGTCATAAAAAATACCAGATGTGAGTGTTAAGGTGAATTTAACGTAGCCATGCATTATTATAAGTTTTT